TATATTATATTATATTATACTATATTATGCAAAACAACTAATTTTTTAGCTCTATGTTAAACTATTGTTAGCTCACAATTATACAGAAAATGGTTTTTGTTTAAGCACTATACATATTTTTATGATATATGTTTAAATCAATATGTAAACCAGAAAGAAAGCAGCAACTTCCTCTGATATAGGGCGCAATGTACAATATTTATATGATATATGAGAGCAACGTCCGATCGCCTTGAGCTTCAATTTAAGAATGCCTTTATTCATTAAGTAAGCGCGCCTTAAATAGAATATGCTCGTATATGAGGAGAGTGCATAGGCAGAACGAGCACAGGCAGATCGATATTCAGGCTCTCCAACCTCAAATGCTGGTCTCACAAATACTATGTTATTGATATAGTCGCCTCTCTATGCCGACAACCACAACGAATAGCCGAAGTAACCATTTCAGCCGAATAGCCATGTCTCTGTCTCACTCTCGTCGCTCTCCCTGCTTGAGGATCCAATAGTTAGACTCTACCTCAATGACAACTGTGTAGCAGCTCTCAGCGGGGCTGTGTGTGGGCTAGGCTGCTGGAATCTGCTCTCAGCAGTCAGAGTAAACAGAGGGTCCACTCTGGCTCAGCTGCTTATAATGTTACAGTCCAGAAAATTCTCACGTACTTTCATTTATACATACATATATAGATCGTAAATATACTCAACTGCTAAAATAATTAAACCAATGGCATGCCGCCGACTCACTCAATGGATATCTAATGCCTCTAAAAAATAATATGCATAAATGATTTGTTAAAATGRCCATAAAAACAAACAAACAAAATTGTTGTAATACATTAATAATATGCTAGCCATAACAAGCGCAATATTTGTAAACATGCTAAAAACTCATTTATAACTGAATTGCCGCTAATTGAATTCATGTGAGCGCTCCATTGAGCTGTGTATGTATATAATCGTAATATATATATTTAAGAGGGGATTAAATTTAGTAACTGGTTCCATAGGCAAACAGTTGGCGAGTCTATTTCTAGATATGCACGCCTTGGCCTGCTGAATGCCAGATCAAATGGAAGCTATTAAAAGCCAAAGCAAACATCATAATTTCGAGCTCATTAAACTTGGACATAGGCGAGGATTAGGTGGAATGCCAAGGCGAGCTGGGAGCAGTTGGCGGTCCAGTCTCAGGCTCATTTTCCAGTCGAGTTTTTTGCCCACCCGTAGACGCATACTAAATTGCACGCTTTATAATTAATTTCCATCAAAAACAGACGACGAGCTCAGTTCAGGTCCAGGACGAAGACTGCGTCTATGGCGCTGGCTGTGGCTCCGGCTCTGCCTTCGGTCTGGGCTATAATCATTAATCTTATCGCCGCCTGAGCTTATTATTTCAATTGCTGCGTGGTGGGTGGTGACCGGCATTTTGGGTGGTTGGGTGGCTGGGTGGTTGTGGGGTTGGGTGCTGCGACAGACGCTGCAAAATTCAATGACCGGAAGTAAGTGAAACAGCAAACCTCCCAACCGTATTGAAAACGCAAAGGCAACCAAAACTCGGCACGTGGCCGAGGACGAGACAGACGAAGACTGAAGGCTGAGAACTGAGAGCTGAGAACTGAGAGCTGTAAGCTGAAGGCGACGACGGCGTTCGGCAAAAATCTCTGCGGTTAATCGCTTGTTCAACATGTCAGCACTTTCCAGCGTTGTTTGTGTTCCCATTGTTGTTGTTGTTGTTGTTGTCGCTGTTGTTTATTTATTTATATGCCTGCCGATTATATCCCGGAGTCCTGAGTGTGGGTTTTATTCCATGCCGTTGACTACAAGTCAATTTAACGCATCAATTTGTGCTAGAGCAAGAAATTTAAACTAATTACGTGTTATGGTCAGTGTGTGTGTGTGTGAGAGCGTGAGTGTGTGGGCAGCCCTATAAATTGTTGCAAATTTGCTTGGCTCTTTGGGGTTTTGCAATTGAGAGAGCGAGACGGAGAGAGAGCCTCCCGCTGGGTGTCCCAGACAGCGTCACTGTGCAACTGTAACTGTAACTGTAACACAGCGTAGGTAAACACCCATTGAATAATAACTCAAAAACAGTCGCAAAACTTCGGCAACGGCCAGGGTAGTCGCGGGCAGCCAGGGTAGTCAGGGTGCCAGCAATTTGCTTTGAGTGTTTGCGTCCTACTTGTCTCTCACTGTCCCTGTCAAATGCAGCAATACATAAACACACTCACTCACACGCACACACACACGGAGAGAGAGAGTGGCTTACAGCACTTTTGCTGGACCAACTTTTGGGCACAGTGTGACAAAAGTGCGAGGGATGCGAGAAGAATTAAGAAATTGTTTGATTCAGCTTGTTTTTGCTTTTGGCTCTAGCAGATTATGAATTGTCAAAAAGTATAGTTCATAAACTAGATTTTTATGATTGCACTAGTTCAAAATATTCCTTTTTAGTCATAAAATTAACAAGTTCCACTTCCCTGTCCTGACACTCTCTGATTCCTTTTGAGTTTTGGTCCTTCTCAATCCTTATTCAGCTGTTCTCTCACAGAGATCATAATTTTCCTAAGTACATCTTCAGAATTTCTAAGAGAAACCAGTTCCATTGCTCTTGAATTTTTCAATTCCCTTTGCTCGCTCATTTTACTAGTTTTCACCATTCAGCTATTCTTCTATTCTGTTCACAATTTTCTTATTTACAACTCCATACTGAGAATTCTTAAAATGAACTAGATCCACTTAATGCTCTTTTCACTCCCATTCTCTGCTTCATCTGGCCACTGTGCCGCCTCTAATCAATTTGTAGCCGCTTAGCAAATGTCTCTCATTTGCATTTATTATGGATATGCCAGCGTCTGCTGTTGGCATTGCAGTTCAAACTTTTAACCCTAGCCACGCCCACACACACGCCAGCCCCAGCCCGGCACCACCCTGTGGCAGCAACCACAGAAACTTTGCAAGCAACATTTTTGGCCAGAAAAGTTGAAATTTGACCATGAATTTATCTGCGCCTGTGGTCATGAAAAGTTTTTAGGGAGCTCAGCTCCCAGCTACCAGCTCCGTCCGGGACAGCTTCACTGCTGTGGCAGACAGGCATCCATCCGTAGTTGGACATATTCAATTTACCCATTTCACTTCCATTTGCAGGTAAAAATTTGGTTTCAAAATCGTCGCATGAAGTGGCGCAACTCCAAGGAGCGCGAGCTGCTGGCCAATGGCGGCTCACGCGACCAGACGCTGCCCAACAAGAACAATCCCAATCCGGATCTGTCAGACGCCAAATGCGATCGCCCACTGACGCCGCTGTCGCCGACGCTGCTCTCGCCCAGCGGCAGTGCCACGCCACCGCCCCTGGCGGCGTCAACAGCTGCTGCCAAGGATGAGCCAGGCGCAGGGCTTGGAGGTGGAGCGAGTGCGTCGACTGCTGTCACACCCAAATCACCGCAATCTGCCACCAGCAGCTCGCCTGTGGAGGGTGCACCGACGCCGACGTCCATCAGCAACCACCCAACCGGTCCGAGCGGCTATGGCATGCAAATCAGCTCACCGCCGCCGCTGCTCACCAGCATCAAGATGGGCGATCAATCGGGCACGCCCACACCAACGCCCACCGTGTCGTCGGCAGCCTCTTCGCCGCCGGGCATTGGCAGCGCCGCTGAGTTTCAGGCGAAGATCAATGCGGAGATGCAGAAGCAGCTGGTGGCCGCTGATCTGAAATTCAAGCTGGAGAGCAGCATCCAGGAGGCCAAACAGCGCCGCTTCGAGCAACTGCAGCAGCTCCATCACTCGCCTCACTTTACGGCCATGCGCGAAGTGGAGCTGGCAGCCGCAGCAGCAGCTGCGCAACTGCATCATCATCACCAGCAGCAGCAACAACAGCAGCAACAACAACAGCAGCAACAGCAGCAGCAGGCGACGCCCAGCGGCACGCCCACTTCGGCTGCCCACTTTCAGAGTACAGAGTTCATGAAGCTCTACTATGAGGACTACGAGGACTCCAACTCGGACAGCGATGAGGAAATAAGCGTAACGTGATTGCCAGGACATGCGGCCAGGGGAAACTATTTTGTAAATATATGTTTAGCATTTTTAATTGTACATTTTGCATAATTATCATTATACCTACTTATAAAGCTAATGAATTAATTAATTAATTATTGTACTTAATGTGTGCATATTTTTTCGAATTTAAATTCCAACACAAAATAAAGGTCTTTGAACAATTCACAACTGATTTTAGTTAAGAAATGTTTTAATTTACAAGCGAAATAGAAAAGGGGTCAAAGCGAAAGAGAGAGATAGATAGATAGGGGAGGCACAGCAATAGCAATTAAGCTATGTACACTGAAGCCAGAGCAATTGGGTTTTGTCCTTGCTGAGCTGCCGATCAATTATCTTCAGCAGTAGGTGGTTTGTGTCATCGCTATAGTAGGAAAACGGCGATTACAGTGCTGCCCAACAACCAAATGCAGCAATAGAATATAGAACATTCGTTAAGTATGGCAACAGCAGCTGGTTTCTGTCATCACTAAAGCGTTGATCTGACTGCACTTACAGTGGCATCCTAAATAAATGTACCGCTCACAACGAATACACAATTTAACAGTTTTTTATTAACGCAAAGAACTGCGTTATTAATTCAACTTTATCTAGAATAAATTCATACATTAAAAAGTATAAGTATAATATTAAAATTAGTAAAATACTGTCCGCGATTAGCCACAGATAGAAGCTTACAAACTAGAAATCACTCAATCGACTAAGTTAAGGCAAACTAGGAAGGCTTTGTACATGGAGGTTACGCTTGCACCAGGAATCTTATTTGCGTATGAAAGACATCTACTTCGGGCTGTATTCATCGTCTAGCCGTATGGCCAAATTAATGTGACCCTCGCCGCTGGTCGGCTCAATGGGTTTCATTGTGGTAAAGATCACTGGTTCATCGCACTTGAAAACGTCCTCGCTGACGGCGGGATTGTCAATGCCCTTGGCTGTGAGCCTCAGCACGCTGCGTCGCTGCACTGCATCAATGATGACCGATATAAGCCAGCCGAGGAAGACAGTTAGCAGGCAGCCCACCATGCTGAACCACATGTAACTCATGCGAAATATGGGCCAGGAGCTAAAGAATGTAGAGTATTCATTAGCATCGCATGGTTAAAAAGTCTTCTAGAGCTCGCGCAACTTACGTAAAGCCGTGCTCCGCCGGTGGCAATAGGCTCTCGCTCAGCAAGTCGTCGATGATGCCCGTCACATTCACATGGCAATCGCAATGCTCCACGGATGTGGGCAGTGCTGGTGTCTCCACATTGGCTATTTGCGCCACGACGCCCACGAATATGACCAGAGCCAGTGAGAGCAGGCCGCCATAGAAGGCGCCCTTCGTATTCGCCTGCTTGCAGGCAATTCCCAAGACGAATAGACCCAGCGTAACGCCGCCAATAAGTCCGTTCAGCGTCAGTGTGGCCTGGAGCACACCGCCCAGGTGTTCCACAATGAAGACCAGACCAAAGGAGCCGACGCCATAGCCCAAGGACATCCATTTGGCATAGGTAGCGCCCTTCTCGGGCGAAATTTTAATGTTCATGCCATTGATCAGCAAATCCTCGCAGGTGACAGCCGAAAGAGAGTTCAAAGCGGAGGCAACAGTGCTGCAAGTATAAAATACGGTAAAGTAAATGAAAAGTTATTTTTATACCCTCAATATATATCAGCTAAAGCTGATCCTCAACCCAAGCTACTCTAGACCTACCCCAAGCTAGCTGCAAAGATGCCCGCCACAAAGATGCCCGCAATGGTGTAGACATGATCATAAGTGTTGATCACATAGTAGGGCAACAGCTGATCGGAGGCGGTGATGCGCCCCACGCTCAGCGGATCGCAGTCCGCATAGTGGGTGAAGACCATGAGACCCGTGTAGAAGTTGAGCAGGAAGACGAAAACCAGTCCAATGATGGCGAAGCCCAGGGCAATCTTGGCCAGCTTCAAGGACTTGAGCGACATGCACTTCTGCACAGACGCCTGATTGGTGCAGAACAGCGAAGTCCAGTAGAAAAAGCCGCCAATGACCACAGACCAGACGGTGTGACGCGTTGTGGGACTGGGATCGAAGCTGCAAGGCAGATGATCAAAGATTAGCGAGAATTCACTGTAGTTTGGGTTAGTCACTTACTTGAAGAACTCCAGCCGACTGCGTTCAGCTGCAGTTTGAAAGACTTGCACGGGACTGCCACTATAGAAGCAGCCCAGGAGAACGATCAGAACCAAGGAGACGGCCAGAACAGCAGCCTAGGAATAATTACAAGATATAAGCAGATGCCAAGGATAAATCGAAGCCTGGGACTCACCTGAAAGGAATCTGCTATGACGCACGCCTTGATGCCGCCCATCGAGGAGTAAAAGACGCAGACCACATAGATAAGAATAACTGCGATTTTGGTGTCCAAGCCAGTTGCCTTGGACAGAGCAATGGCCGGAGCTAGGACGGCCACGGCCGTGTAGAAGCACATCTGCAGAGCAAGAGACAGGAAATGGAGATAAAGCCACATGCTGAGTGAATATATTCTCAGTCATCTTACCTGTATAACGTAGAGCACTGCGCCCAGGATGCGTATCTCCTTGCCGAAGCGTATGCCCAGATACTCATAGCAGCTGGTCAGCTCCATTTTGAAGTAAATCGGATAGAAGACCTTGACAGCCACGGGTATGACCAGCAGCATGGGTATCACAATCAGCACAAACTGTGTGCCCTGGAAGTACATCTCGGAGGGATTGCCCAGCAGCTCAATGGCCGTGATGAAGCTCGTGGTTAGGCTGAGCGTCACGGGCAGCAAGCTCATGCCAGAGCCAAGCAGGAAGTCATCCGAGGAGCTGCCGCCCGTCTGGAAGAAGCCATAGAAGATGCCAATGCCCAGCGAGACGACCAACATGGACAGCAGTATGACGTAGTCAATGCCAGAGAAGGTGGCCTTGTGCGTGGGCTCGCTGCATTCCTCCAAGTCGAGGCCAGCCTTCAGCTGCTGGGTCTTGAAAGCCGACAGCAGCAGCGTGGCTGCATCATCGAACTGCAAATGCTCCTCGGACGTAGCCGAGGACTCGCCGCGCACAATCAAATACTTCTGCTCAGGTGTGATGGGCACCTGCTGCCGCTGCGGATCCTGCTTCAGTGTGTGCGCGTTAATAGAATGCGCCAGCGCGCAGAGCGTCAACAATTTCAAAATGGTGCCGAACATGTTGCCCAAGTGTCTCCTCAGAGGTGTTCAACTAGAGTGGATTTGATGCAGTGCTCTCTCAACCAGAAACTGCATAGGAATTCATAAATAACACATCAATAAAATTTAGTTATAGATGAGTTAAAAGATAGCTCAGATATTGTATATGTATAACTAATATATAAAGTCTTGATAAGTTCAAGGCTTTGCAGTGGCGGCAATTACAAAGTTTTCTTGCTGTAGGCGTCGTTAATCAATTAAGTTTCGGAATTTGTATCTGTATATGTATCTGTAAATTTATCTGCGAGATATATGTATGTACAATTCATGTAGCCAATGAGACGCAGTTCAACTCGGAATTTATCATTTCCTTACATAAACAATTTGATTAAGCCGCCTCTGTCAATTACTCAATGTATTAATATTCATATTTTTTATGAGCCCTAAGTAAAACATTCTTCGAGGACATGGAAATCAGTTGAAGACTTGAATTTTGGAATTTTGTTTACAGTGTATTATGATTGTGGAAATTGATTTGATATTGACATAATAAATAGTTAGTATTGATTTCTGATTAATAAATTATATGAATAAAATTTATTTATTCTTGAACAACATTTTGTTTGTAAGTTTAAATTATAATATAAAAATATATATAATTTTAATCAAATAATTAAGATAAAACTGAATTCAATTTAATATTATC